TTACAGAATTCAAAGAAGAATTTGTAGTAGCTCTAAAACAAAGTACAGAGAGCACTACGATGTTTGAAAAATAAAAAACGAACCGTAGTAGTTCCGAAAGAGCATTACATAGTTCAAGAAGAACATGTAGTAGCACCGAAAAATCTTAACAAGAGAATTACAAAGTTCAACAAGAACTTGTAGTAGTACCAAAAGATCTTAACGAGAGCATTACGAAGTTCAACAAGAACTTCTAGCAGCTCCAAAGAATCTTAAGTTGAGCATTACAAGAATTTGTAGCAGCTTCAAGAATTAATCTGAAGATTWYGAACCTACCAAAAGATTTTTGTAGTAGCTCCGGAACTTCATGAAAAAGCGTTGCGACGTTGCAGGAGKTTCAAAAAATTATTACAGAAATTTGAATCCCAATGTTCAAATCAAAGTAGCAAACTCTGACATGGAGCTGTAGTGTTCAACAAAAACTTGCAGGACCTCCGAAAATACTGTTTTTATAAAAACAAGGAGCTGCAATGTTCAAAAGAAAAAAACTGAGAGCTCCAAAAACATGGACCTCAGACGCAGCTTTCAAACAAGCTTTATGCGAGCTCCGAAAACTTTTAATAAAAAGCTGTAATGTTTAAAACGTACTTGCAAGCTTCAAAAATTAAGGCCGCAATGTTCAAAACGCCAATGCAAACTCTAAGAAGAAGAGTTGCAGCGTTCGGAACGTGATTGCAAACTCCAAATTATTCAATAAACTAATTGTAACGTTCCACGAGAAGTTGCAAGAGCTTCAAAGTGAAGCAGCAAAAAGCTACTAAGAAAGTGTCGCGACGTTCAAAAAAGACTTGTCAGAGCTCCAAAATTTATAGAATGACCATGTGACATTCAAAAAGTAATTGCAGTACCTTCAAAAGGTCATACGCAGAAAATTGGAATGCTCCAAAAGAGAACCTGTAAAATATATTACAATATTCGAAGAGCATCTGCAACTACGAGTTATAGCTCAACGAGAACTTGTGAGAGCTCCGAAAAGTGTATGTGTGCTGTAAGAACTCCAAAAATTCGTAGGTAAAAAAAAAAAAGAGTCACCAAAGCTCCAGAAAAAAAAGTAACGATTGATGCAAGCAACAAGCTAAAACTCAGGTACTACAACGCAAAATAACAGAGTCGGGAGGGGGGCATATAGTGCAAGCTACAATGTTCCACAAGAAAACTCCTAAAAGAGAATTCCAAAAGGCTAACATATGCAGCGAAGAGATCTATAAAAACCATATTCCAAAGAAACAACGCTCCCAGATGTGAACGGGTCGTGCTTCAAAAGGTGCAAAGCGACCTTACTTCGTACCTAAGACAGGTAATAGTTGCCTGCGCAGTTAATACCTCTCTATAAGCTGTTTCGGCCTCCTCAGCTTTCCAATTTGGTGCTTTGCGATCTTGAACTCTTGAGTTATCTTCCAAGTGTTGATAATAGTTGCACCAGACGTTGCGAACTCCAGTTGTTGCTCCAAACAAGTGACTATGCGCTTGCTCTCCTCATTATTCGCTTCCAACGAAGCTACCTCACTTTTAAGAACATTAACCTTACCCATCCTTCAAAGAAGCTACCTCATCTTTAAGGTCACTGACCTTACCTATCCAAGAACTCGCATCATGATCCTTCGTGTTAATGGCAGAGTTTAGCAATGTTCTCTCCGATTCTAACTCCTTTTTCATCATAAGTGACTTTAGTTGATCGATGCACAGATAAAGCATCCAAGTACCTTCGAAAATAAGGACATGACATCGTCCAAAGCAGTAATATGTCCTAGCTCTCTAACTCTCAAGGTCAAGCGAAAAGTAGTAGTTGCATTGACCATTCGCAGAGGAAATGTTAGAGTTGGCAAACACAACACTACGTGACAAACATGACATCGGTCATCCGTGACATAGATATACGCTTTAAAGAAGACTTGATAACTAGCTTATCCTTAGAAACTGCCTTTGAAGCAACACGCAGAGTTCGTCTCTAGCACATCTAAATTTTTCTACATTATATCATCCGAACAGCGTTAAAACAAAAACGTTGTAACCATATGAACGATTGGCAAACGACAATTACAAGCGACAAGCAGCAATATAAGGGGAACATACATGTGTGCATCCCAATAAAAGTAAATAACAACACCAAACAGTTTGAGCTACGTCCATGATAATTACATATTCGAACATATCTACTAGATTTACTAATCTCTAAATTCTAACTAGAAATTAGAGAGTGGGGGGCAAGTTGTTGGAAAAAATTAATACATTAGTTTGACCTATTATAAAAAGTCAACTATGACTTAGGTCCAAATGGACAGATGCCTGAATGGCATAGGTTCAAATGTTGTAACTTCGAATTCTGCATAATATACGACGTCCGAATCCCACGGGATGGACGAGCTCCGAATTCTACGGGATATGAGCCTTTCAACTAAGGATAAGTCCAAATCTCTAAGAGATAGGTTCGAACCGATATACCAACCCAAACCTAAAACAGTTAGGGGTAGAGGCATCTCTATAAAAGGCAGAGCTCTGAGAGCAGAAAGAGGGGGGTACCAGAGCTAAAAACCCTAGATAACATATTCTCGCCGCTTCCACGAACAAGCAACGAGACTATAGTAGAGCTTCGATTCCACCAAATCGGACCTCTACAGCTCCGAAGATCTTCTTTGAACAACCGTCTTACGCTTTCAATTTATTGTAGTTTCGAGTTTGTTGTTCTAAGATCACTCATCAATAAAGAAAGATTATCTTCTACCGTTCCGTAGTTCTGTTTACCGAACTTGTTAAATTTACCAGAAAGACTAATCATATTATTTCGCGTATAACATGGATAATTACCTAATAGAGATTAGATTAGGACCTTTGCGATGCTGAGGATTATTTGATATACAATAGATAGTTAGATTTAAAGAATATTTTGAGGAAAGATAGGTCATCTTCTTATTTCAAACTTGAATTTAGATAATGTAGTAATTAATGTTATAGGCTCATATATAAATTGAAAAATTATACTCTCATATCGCATATTTAATTAGAAAAATTTGGAAATCAATAAATATGTACACTTGATATCTATAAATTTAGTTTAAATCATAAACTATTGGATATAATAATTAAATCATTTTTACATATTTTGACAATATGTCTTCAATATTTTTGTTGTAAATTCTTTATTTTTTGCTGCTCCTCCTTGATCTAATTCTCTTTCTTTTAGTGATCGATTGTATTTATTTTCTTATTTTCTATTTTTTTATATGTTAAATTTCTCTTCTTTTAAATTACTTTCAACTAAATATCTTATATAATTATTCATAGAAAAATTTTATGCAATTTTTTCCATTTAAACTTAAACACAAAGCATGATGAGATAAGGTTACAAGCGTAAATGATAACCGGCTGCTCCTTTGAAAATTTTTTTTCTTCAACCATTAAAGGTAAGCGAACAGACATTTAACTTATACTGTCGTCAAGGCTGAGAATTTAAAATACATATACTACAAAAGAAAAGGTTGGGGGGAATGGTTCTCTCCGAAACAAAAAAGGTGATGAAAACGATCTCTCCAAAACGGACGAAGTTGATGGAAATGGTCCCTCGATGACAAAGGACATAAATGGATTCGTTCTCTCCACGAAAGAGGGAGTTGTTTTGATGGACAACCATATGACAGAGAAGATTAATCCTTTCACCAACGGTGAAGTCTATACAAGACTTAACAGTCGATGGGATCCAAATGGGTTTAAGGCCCACTTAGGAGAGACTGGCATGCATGAAGGAAACTTGGGATAAGCCCAAACCTAAGCCATCAACGTGATAGGTGATGTCGAGGCAGCAAGGCGAGCGGTTGAAGAAGCACCAAGGGTCAGCAGAAACATCATCCTTTTGGTGAGGGGGTCGTCGGTAATGGTCATAATCCATGAGAGCACCGCGGAGATGGTTAACATTTGCCAGTAAAAAAAAGGCTGGAGATTTTTGTGGTGTTAACTTCTACTTTTGGAAGAGATATGATGCAAATGTTAGAGAGAATGCGGCCCACATCCAAATTGGAGATGGGGAGTCACGAGATCCGGAGAGATCGGCTGGGGTTTCGCCGACAATTAAAGATCTTGTCGAGGTGAGGAGTTCATCGGATGGCCTGTCATCTCTGACGTAGAGGCGATCAATGAGTGAAAGGATGTCTTCATCAAAGGCATTTGGCGGTGGTTAGGTCGGAGACAATGAGTGTTCTCCAGTGTAAGAGAGATATTTAAAAAGTTATAGCTGAAAAGCAAGGTTATTGCTTTAGAGGAGGCAGGCTTTACTTAAGGGACCTACGGCGTGAGAGCGGAGGCGAAGATCCATTCTGGTGGTTGCGTGCTTCCAACGGTGCCTCGAGTTGTGTGCTAGGGAGGAAATGAACTTTGGGCGAATTGTGAGTCCTGAATCTAAATCGATTCAGATGACACTGAAAAATATGAATAATTAGGAAATGAAAGATTGAATACGGATGAACAGTAACGTAAAATTACAAATCGTATAAAGAAAAATAAATCGTAAAAAAACTTGTTCATTGCGTATAGCTTTTTATCAAAATTACAGAATGTCCTCCATATCTGGACGATTTTCCTACTTATACGAGATCATAATTCCGTCCTTCACGCTTCCTCTTCAATCTCATATTTAATTCTTGTCCTTTATATGATTGCGTATGTTACACACTTATGATGCTCCCTTTCCCAATTCGAAAGTCGTAATCCTTAAAAAATGACTTGATATCGGTTATCGGCCCGACTCTCCTATCTCTTCGAATTGGGCCGCAATCTGCGAGCTGGGCCATTTTTGTGGTTGACTTCTGTACTAACAAATCGTATTTCTGAATAGTTTGCTATACGAACTGACCCTTGCGAAATGACTTTCATACGAAAACGTATCATATTCTCCGAGCTAACTTTTTATATGAACTACTCGTAAGTTAAGGATTCCGAGCTGTACGCGGAATTCATGCCAATAAATTGCTCCAAAGTCTGTTAGAACCTAACTCATGCTCTGTTTTGAAAGACTTAAGAAATTATTACCACCAATTTTTTTTTATCTGTGATTTAGACACGACTTCCTTTACTAGAATTAATATATTCACTATATGAAAATAGTTATTCCCATTAACTTTGTCTTATTAAATCGGTGATAAAACCAAATCGTACGACTTTCCATATCTCCAATTTTTTAAAATTGTATAGTTTCCATATGCCGTATTTTCGAGAATCAAATCGTATAATTTTCTACGTTATACGATTTTCCATATTACAAATTTTCAAAATGATATGAATGTTTTTTACCTCCTTCCTTTTCACGCATCCCGAGAAAGTTTATAAGTGAGAGAAAAATTCTTTTTCTTAAGCTCTCCCTTCTCTCTACTTTTTTTGTTTCTCTCTTTTCTTGTGTGAGATCTCTTCTAGATCTTTTTTTTGGTTGATTCACTCGTCAGTCCCGTTTTATTCTTTGATTTCAGAGTTGTTTGAAAAATTTTGAGCTTGATTTTTTGGATGGTGTTCTTCATGTTCTTGTTGTTCTTTGTTACTATTCATTCTAGATTTTAGACTATAATATATCTCTCCAAAGTCTTATCTTTTGTTTGCTCGGATCTATTCTCTTCACAGACCAAGCTCTCCTCGTTCTTTCTCTTTTCACTTGCTTTCACGTTTT